GGGCGGAGATAGGTAGGATTAGGGGTGAGGTTAGGGATCAAGGGGCGGAGATAGGTAGGATTAGGGGTGGGGTTAGGGATCAGGGGTGGAGATAGGTAGGATAGGGGGGGTTAGGGTTCAGAGGTGGAGATAGGTAGGATTAGGGGTGGGGTTAGGGATCAGGGGGCGAGATAGGTAGGATTAGGGGTGGGGTTAGGGATCAGGGGGCGGAGATAGGTAGGATTAGGGGTGGGGTTAGATGCATCAAGGGGCGGAGATAGGTAGGATTAGGGGTGGGGTTAGGGATCAGGGGCGGAGATAGGTAGGATTAGAGGTGGGGTTAAGGATCAGGGGCGGAGATAGGTAGGATTAGGGGTGGGGTTAGGGTTCAGAGGCGGAGATAGTAGGATTAGGGGTGGGGTTTGGGATCAGGGGGCGGAGATAGGTAGGATTAGGGGTGGGTTAGGGATCAGGGGGCGGAGATAGGTAGGATTAGGGGTGGGGTTATGCATCAAGGGGCGGAGATAGGTAGGATTAGGGGTGGGGTTAAGGATCAGGGGGCGGAGATAGGTAGGATTAGAGGTGGGGGTTAAGGATCAGGGGCGGAGATAGGTAGGATTAGGGGTGGGGTTAGGGTTCAGGAGGCGGAGATAGGTAGGATTAGGGGTGGGGTTTGGATCAGGGGGTGGAGATAGGTAGGATTAGGGGTGGGGTTTGGGATCAGGGGGTGGATATTGGTAGGATTAGGGGTGGGGTTAGGGATCAGGGGGTGGAGATAGGTAGGATTAAGGGTGGAGTTTGGGATCAGGGGGTGGAGATTGGTAGAATTAAGGGTGGGGTTTGGGATCAGGGGCGGAGATAGGTATGATTAGGGGTGGGTATATATAAGGTGGGAGGAGTTATATCTGGATCCAACTCCTCCCCCTGCATTTGATGTTCTGCAGTGAGGACCATCTCTGTCAGTCTGGTGTCGATGATCAACTGCTTTAATTAGCACGTAAAGTCCACACGAGAGGCTTAGTTACGGCTGTCTAGTTAGTAAATAACTGTATTTAATTTGGTTGCAGACTTATTTGACATCTTGTGAAAAGGGCATAATAGGAGCGCTTTAATGTTTGAAGTATTGACGTCTGTCCAGTAAAACATGGACTTCTAATGGATGTAATTCATCAATCTGCTGTTTTATTCCAGCTGATATTCCTGATCTGGACATTTTGTTTCATGAAAAGTTTAAACATGTAGTAGATGTGCCTGTCCTTCGGTGTGTCCGCAGATCTCTCAGATTGAGAACGTGTCGGGTTTGTCAAAGCTTCGTTTGCTGAATCTGTCGGGGAACCGCATCGCTCGAGTGGAGAATCTGCGGGGCTTGCAGAGTCTGACCGAACTCAACCTGCGGCACAACAGCATCTCGGACGTGGTGAGAGTTAATCAGACACATTTATAATAAATTAATCAGTTTAAAATATAAAACATCAACATTTGATACACTTAAACAGATGAAATATTTAATCCGTTCACTGACGAGACCATTAGCCGACATCGGAGAACCGCGAAACACGTGAATGTGACGTTAAATTATTGAAATATTAAAATATATAATCTCAGAATGACTGTAATTTATAAAAACCACACAAATGGCTGATGATCTCTGTGGGTGTTGCAATGCAGTTGCTCAAAAAGTGTCTTTTTGCACTTTTATATATGGTTGCTAGGTTGTTGGTGGTTGCTAGGGTGTCTGTGATTGATGACGATCTTCTGTCTGTGATTGGTGGAGTTGTGCATCAGCTGGAGAGCAACATACGTTCACGGTTAATGCTTGTTTAGGCCACGCCCACACGTGTTAGGCCACGCCCACACCAGGGGGGAACCAATCTCACCGTCTCCATTGACTCCATCCACTTCTGTGTCCTTAAACGCTTGTGTTCTGGGCTCGGCGACTTATTAAACGGCTTATTAAACACTCAGAGATAAATGAAACGTATCTTGTGTGCTGTACACGTCACACGGCAGCTTTCAGACAGAGTTTTGTTTTTTGTTATAAGTCATAAATGACGAGGAGGCAGCTTCACACAACACAGAGTCAATGGAGACGGTGGGATTGTGGGATTCTCCCCCCGCCCCTGTGTGGGTGTGGCCTAAACGTGTATGGGTGTGGCTTCAGATTATGACACGTGTCGCTCTGTCTCTACTCTCTATGACATGTAGCTAAATAAATGAATAATTTGCTAAATATTTTTTTATGCTTTTACATTTTTATAAATTTTTAGGACATAATTAATTATCAGCAACCACTTAAAAACATCTTAGCAACCATTCTCCACACCCTAGCAACCACAAAGTGATTTTGTTTGAAAAGCCTCCAGCTGAAAACAATGACTGACTGTTTTTGCTGTCGATCACTTCCTGTGTGTGTGTGTGTTGAATTTGAGCATCTCTCTCTCTCTACACACACACACCCTCCCCTCCCCCGCAGTCGTCCTGCTCTTCCGCTGCCCCTCCCGTCAGTGTTCCGCCGCAGCGGTGTGTGTGTGTGTGTGTGTGATGGATCAGTGTGCCGGTGACTGAGGGATGCTGCATCACTCTCTCTCTCTCTCTCTCTCTCTCTCTCTCTGCTAGACGGATCTGCAGTATCTTCCTCGTCTGCAGCGTCTGTTTCTCAGCGCTAACAGCATCAGCAGGTAAGATTAGCATTAGCGTGTTTAAGGTTAACCCCGTCCTGTCTGAGGACGCGTCGTGCCCTCGTACTGCAGCACACACACACACACACACACACACACATGGGCGGAAGTGTTTAGACTGTCATCCAGTGTGTCTGATTCTGTAACCATGGGAACATGGTTCAGTAATTAGTTTTTTATGTGTTGTCATGGGTGGAGTTGTACGGTTGCTAAGGGTGTGTGCGCGCGTGTGATGTTGATGCGGTGTGAGTGTGACGGAACGAGCTTTACGGGGTGTTTTTCCTCATTACTGCTGTGTCATATTGCTGCATCCCGAGCCCTGTGTGTGTGTGTGTGTGTGAGGGTCTGTGGGCGGGGCTAACTCGAGGTCAGGGGTCATTCAATGTCTATGTAAAATTGAGACAATTTTATTTATTCTTTCAGCCATGAAAATATAAAAGTAGTTGTGACTTTTTATCACACAATTCTGACTTTTTTATATATCTCGCAATTCTGACTTTATATCTCGCAATTCTGACTTTATATCTCGCAATTCTGACTTTATATCTCGCAATTCTGACTTTATATCTCGCAATTCCGACTTTATATCTCACAATTCCGACTTTATATCTCGCAATTCTGACTTTATATCTCGCAATTCTGACTTTATATCTCGCAATTCTGACTTTCTATCTCGCAATTCTGACTTTATATCTCGCAATTCCGACTTTATATCTCACAATTCTGACTTTATATCTCGCAATTCCGACTTTATATCTCGCAATTCTGACTTTATATCTCGCAATTCTGACTTTATATCTCACAATTCTGACTTTATATCTAGCAATTCTGACTTTCTTGCAATTCTGACTTTAAATCTCGCAATCCTGACTTTTTTCTTGCAATCCTGACTTATTATCTTGCAATTCTGACTTTCTATCTCGCAATTCTGACTTTTTTCTTGCAATTCTGACTTTCTTGCAATTCTGATTAGTCACAATTCTGACTTTATATCTCACAATTCTGACTTTATATCTCGCAATTCTGACTTTATATCTCGCAATTCCGACTTTATATCTCGCAATTCTGACTTTATATCTCGCAATTCCAACTTTATATCTCGCAATTCCGACTTTATATCTCGCAATTCTGACTTTATATCTCGCAATTCTGACTTTATATCTCGCAATTCCAACTTTATATCTCGCAATTCCGACTTTATATCTCGCAATTCTGACTTTATATCTCGCAATTCCAACTTTATATCTCGCAATTCTGACTTTATATCTCGCAATTCTGACTTTATATCTCGCAATTCCAACTTTATATCTCGCAATTCCGACTTTATATCTCGCAATTCTGACTTTATATCTCGCAATTCTGACTTTATATCTCGCAATTCCAACTTTATATCTCGCAATTCCGACTTTATATCTCGCAATTCTGACTTTATATCTCGCAATTCCAACTTTATATCTCGCAATTCTGACTTTATATCTCGCAATTCTGACTTTATATCTCGCAATTCCAACTTTATATCTCGCAATTCCGACTTTATATCTCGCAATTCTGACTTTATATCTCGCAATTCTGACTTTATATCTCGCAATTCCAACTTTATATCTCGCAATTCCGACTTTATATCTCGCAATTCCGACTTTATATCTCGCAATTCTGACTTTATATCTCGCAATTCTGACTTTATATCTCACAATTCCAACTTTATATCTCGCAATTCCAACTTTATATCTCGCAATTCTGACTTTATATCTCGCAATTCTGACTTTATATCTCGCAATTCCAACTTTATATCTCGCAATTCCGACTTTATATCTCGCAATTCTGACTTTATATCTCGCAATTCTGACTTTATATCTCGCAATTCCAACTTTATATCTCGCAATTCCGACTTTATATCTCGCAATTCTGACTTTATATCTCGCAATTCTGACTTTATATCTCACAATTCCGACTTTATATCTCGCAATTCCAACTTTATATCTCGCAATTCTGACTTTATATCTCGCAATTCTGACTTTATATCTCGCAATTCTGACTTTATATCACGCAATTCTGACTTTATATCTCGCAATTCTGACTTTATATCTCGCAATTCCAACTTTATATCTCGCAATTCTGACTTTATATCTCGCAATTCTGACTTTATATCTCACAATTCTGACTTTATATCTCGCAATTCTGACTTTATATCTCACAATTCTGACTTTATATCTCGCAATTCCAACTTTATATCTCGCAATTCCGACTTTATATCTCACAATTCTGACTTTATATCTCGCAATTCCAACTTTATATCTCGCAATTCTGACTTTCTCGCAATTCTGACTTTATATCTCGCAATTCCGACTTTATATCTCGCAATTCTGACTTTCTCGCAATCCTGACTTTTTTCTTGCAATTCTGAGTTTACATCTCGCAATTCGGACTTTCTCGCAATTCTGATTAGTCACAATTCTGAGTTTATATCTCGCAATTCTTCCCTTTTAACCTCCAATTTCTCAATTTATATCTCTTTAAGGGCGCGTGTTTGATGGATGAAAGATCTGCCTGGGTCACGGAATGTTTTTGTGATTAAAAACTTTGCGATGTTCTTTTTTAATTCCACGGTGAAAATGGGCTTCCACACGAAGGGAAGTAACACGACAGCTAACGATTCCCTCTTCGTGAGCTGTTGCAGAATGCCGTGTGACGTCAGTGTGTGTGTGTGTGTGTGTGTAGTTTGGATGCGCTGGCCTGTCTGTGGGACTGCCGCTCTCTGAGTGAGCTGAGCGTCGATGGGAATCCCGTGGCGCTGGAGTCATGCTACAGACACACACTCCTCCGCTGCTGCTCGCCACACCTTCAGCTGCTCGACATGAGGCGCGTCACGGTGAGTCTGCACACACTCGCCCGCTTCCCCCTGCTCTCCTTACAAACTAAAGGCCTAAACTAATTAAAAACACGGACGGGCTGTCTGATTGGCTTACATTGTATATTTTCTAGTATTTGTGATTATGATGATGAATATTTGTAGCTGTATATTTGCTATCTGTATAATTCAGCTGTATAATTAAATAATATAAATATTATAATATAATTATTTATTTAAAAATTAATAAATAAGTTAATAAATGTGATTCAAATAAAAAAATAGGTAGTTGTTCATATATAGATTAAATTAAAATAAAATAAACTTTTCAAATAATATTAAAAAAATTAAAATTAGATTCAAATTAAATAAACAAAAAAACAAATATATTTAACAGTACATTTCTATTGTGAGTAGATAAAAAATAAAATAATGTAACTTAATAATAATGTAATTTAATAGATTTATAATATTTATTTTATCAGTGTATTGATTGTTTATAATCGATAGATGCCTTTGAAGTGTTTGATGTGTAGATCATGTTTGAAACCCCTGATCTCCGCCTCTCTCCAAATGCTGTGGTGCCGCCTCTGAAACGGCAGCAATGCATGCTGGGAAGAAAACAGCTGGGCCGGCACATCATCTGACAATAATCCTCTGTGATCCACACACACACAAATAATGTGTCTGTGTGTGTTAATTGCGTCCTCCTGACGGTTTGCTGGTGTTCTGCAGGAGGAGGAGAGACGCTCAGCGAGTGTTTCGGCACGAAAGGAGGATGAGAAGAAAAAAGAGAGTCACAAACTGGCTGCGCACAAGGTACACACACACTTCAGCCCGACACACACACACAACAAATAACTGAATTCAAAGGGAAAACAAACTTACTGACCCCACTGCCAGATGCTTGTTCTTGTTTTAAGCACAAACTCACTTCATTCCTCAGAAAAGGAGATCATTCTGCTTCTGTATCTTATATATCCAAGAGGTCGTTCACACAGAATGTGTTTTTCCATTCAGATGTAAAACAAATTGACACGTGGAGTTTGTCCTGACACACAGTAATCGCATGCGTCTGGATGACAGCGGTTCCAGCATCACACACACATTCAGTCCTAGGATTCAGTGTCTGATCTCGGATCAGCTGGAGGTCAACATAAAAAACATCTGAGTGTTATTTTTCAATCCAATTCGGGTCTTTATTGGCATGAACGTTTTTCAAACAATGTTGCCAAAGCATATACAAAATATACAAATACTATATATATACATAAACATTTAACACAATAAAGTGTTATTGATCTCAGGCTCACGAGGCCGTGATTATAATGACAGTTCAGAGACACTCGAGATGAATGATTCTCATCCAATCTGTTCTCTGATGTCGGTTAATCATCACAACAGTGCAGGTCAACAAATAAAATATTTCAAATAATTTATTTATTTTAATTGTACATGTTTATGAATTAATTTTTTAGTAAGTGTTTAAATTGGATTTGTTATATTAATTTGACATTTTTATTATATTATAATTTATGATTTAATTCGTTTGTTTACATTGTATAATTGAATTCGTTGTAGTAAGTGTAAAATAATTTTTAGATTCATTTTATTCTTTTTATTTTTAATTTATTCATTATTTATTTTCATTTTCCCTTTTTTAATGTTTTACTTACATTTATTCACTATACATTTCGATTTTTATAATTAATTTTTTGTTAGTATACATGATGTTTTTTTTAGATTCTTAATTTTTAGATTCAATATTCTTAATTTTTATTAGATTTTTATTTCAATGTATTAATTTTTTAATTTCACCTTTTTATTAATTTAATTTGACATTTTTATAATTCAGTTTTTTTGAGTAATTGTTCATTTTTATTATGTATTTATTTTAAGTTATTATTTATTTTAATTTGACCTTTTTTATCATTATACATTTTTAAAATTCATTATACATTTTAAAATATTTTTAATTTTAAGAGGTTTCATTTTTAAGTGCTATTGTTTTTTTAGATTGTAAGATTGTACTATCAGCTTTTTTTTTATTATTTATTTATTTATTTTTAATAGTAATTAGATCTGACTCAATAAAAGTGAATCTCAGCAAAACAACCGCCGCTGTAGTTTCACACTGGAACCACTGAGGGATCTAATGGTTTCTTTGGTCTCAGGAAAGGCGTCGACTGGCGATCCAGAACGCAGCGCATCAGTGGGAGGGGCTTAAACAGAACGAGGCTCAGCAGTGGGAGGGGCTTAAAGCCTCGAGCCTCGAGATTCCTGCGCAGAACGGCTCAAAGGAAGATGTCAGTTCAGACAATAGCCCCGCCCACAGCCCTGCGCAGACTAATGGGAGCGCTCAGGAGACCTCCCCGGACGAGCCCAGGTGTGTGTGTGTGTGTTTGTGTGTGTGTCTGAGTGTGTGTGACGTGTGTGACTGCTGTGATTCTCTGTTTCAGGCGCTTGAGTCCGCTCACACTCTCAGCTGGAGGGTTACGATCGGCCAGTCGCCCGAACAGCCCCAGAGACTCCAGGTACATCTAAACACACACACACACACACACACGTCATAGTGTCAGAACTGCGCATCACAAACACGTGTTTCATGCAGTACTGTCAGAACTGACATTTCACTGACATTTTTGTCCTTAGTGGTTTTTTTAAGCATTTATTTCAATTTGACAAATGCAGGATTGAATGAATTATTAATAAGTGTTTTAGTTAAATTTGTTATATTTAAAAAATATATATTTATTTTTGGCTGCAGTGATGTTCCCAGCATGCTCCTGCTGTAACACATTTGATCCGTCTCTGTCCAACACACACACACTCAATGACACATGAGTTAATAATAAGAGCTAATATTATCTCAGTGATGCAGTGAATCTCTCTGATTCTTGCTGGCTCAGTTTAATCCATTACATGGACAGTGTTTGTTCAGGAACGGAGTGTGTGAGCGTCGATGAGCAGATCTATCAGCGTCTGATGTCTGAGTGTATGTGGGCAGAGAATTAAAGCGTGAATCACATGCGTCTCTTCATGAGCTGCTAGTTAAAAACTCATTATTTCCCTCTGAATTAACCTCTCAAAATTAAATATCTCAACCAAATCACTCTAATTATAATTAACCAAACTGGGCTGCTTTAGTGTTTTTTTGCTTATTTATTTTAAGCTGTCATTGACAGTGTAAGTATTTGTAATATTAAGCAACTACATGTACTTACTATAACTTTAGGGAATGATTAGGATGGGGTTGAGGGTTAGTTGAATGTAATTATGCATCGTTTACTGTTGTTACCACGGTCAGTACAGGTAACACATATAACGAGGACACTGTAAAATAAAGTGTTATCTGGTGTTTTTGTGTGTTTTTAATTGTTAACCCTCTGGGGTTGTTCGTTTCAGAGTCACACTCGGGGTGTTCGGGTCCAAATAGACCCAAAGGGCAGGATTCATATTAAAAAAAAAAAATCATGATTTTTATCATATTTTTTTCTTTTCTTTTTTGGTGTTTTGAGAAAATTAAAAAAAAATATATATAATTAGTATTAATGCAATAATTATGACAAAATTGCCCCCCAATTGAACATAATAGAAACAATATTTAAAAATATATATTTAAAAAAAAAATTTTAAAGCTGTATTTCATTTTAGAGTCAAGCCTAGGCCTCATAAAAGCAATTTTTGAAATGAGATGGATGCCATCTGGTGGACAAACTGAGCATTTTAAAAATGCAAAACACATGCATAATGTGAATTTTTTTGTGTGTTTGTGTGTCTGTTTTGCACTCTTGATGTTTTATAGATTCACCCCTTCACTGTTGTGTGCTTTTTTTCAAGATTGTGGCTGATTTGTAGATTGTACGCACAAAAAAACTCAGTATTTTCACATTTTTACCAATTTCCCATTCATTTTCCATGCGGGTCCATTTGGACCCGAACACTCCAAGTGTGACTATTATTTTTTTACAACCACTTAGACTATTCACATCCTGTCCCCAATTTTTTTGGGTGACAAATTTTTTTTTTTTTTTTCAAATAGCAACAAAGTCACCAAATTTAAAAAAAAAAAATTATTTAAATTCTTCAGGTCCATTTGGGCCGAACAACCCCAGAGGATTAAAATGCAGAACGTTTTGTGTGTAGGTTAGTGTTAGAGTTGTAGTAATTAAAACTAGCTGTACACTATATATATAAACAACAGAAGTCCATTGAAATGAGTGTTTTTATCTGTATATGGAGAGGTTGGGTGGATGAGATCTGGAGCACAGACAGACGCTGCTGTCGATCTCTTCATGCCAAGTGTGATTGCAGTCTGAATACTCCTCTCAGAAGAGACTCTGTCCTAACATGTTCGCCAGGAGCGTTTAAATCATCCGTACAGTCCTGTGTTACAGGAGCCGGAGACTGATGAAACCAGACGAAACACGCGATGACTTTCTGTGTGGGGTCTCCAGGTTTCAGGACGATCCCGGCGTCTGACTGTCAAGTTTCTCAAACACACTGAAATGTCGGAAAACGCTGAATTCCCCTCTACTGCGCATGCGTAAACCCTCACAGAATATTCTTTAGCAGAATATCTCCTCATTCACTGATCGCCCAGGTTGCACTCACTATTATATGTTTGGTCTAAAATGCTAAAACTGTTTAGCAAATGTAAGTAAGTTTACCGTCTGTGATATGAAGACCAAAGTAACATTTTTAAACATTACAGGCACTACACGCGGTATAAACATCAATATCTATTGGTACAATATGCGTCACATGACTAAACTTACATCATCGTTTTGAAATCTCTCCGTTTTGACAGTTCTACAACACAGAAAGACCATTTTCAAGGTTATCCACTTTGGAGACGTTTTCAAAAAGCTTTGTTTTCATTAGGGGCTGTTTACAGTCACGACACTGTTTTCAACTAAAAACGGAAAGCCGTTTTGGTTGGTTGTTTACACGAAAATTGCCTTTTGGGTGGCAGAAAACGCAATTTTTGAAAATGGGTTTTAGGCCCTGTTTACAGGAGAACGCTCGCGGGTGAAAACGTAAAAATATTTTATGGGATGTGCCTTTCGTTTACACGGCAACGGCGATTTTTTTCAGCGTTTCTTAAAATCTCTAAATAGTGGAACCACCCTCTAGAGTGAAAAATCGTAAAAACGCTCCACCGCCGCGTTCCCGTGTAAACGGTAAAAACGCAAAAGTCTGCTGACAGTGAAGGTTGTACGCAGGCGCACGGACTTGGTGTGGTAGTGCTCCACATTGCCACCTAGAGTGCATACTACATTGCATTTCACACACTTTTGCGTCACCATGTGCACGCGGATTTCCCAGCCAAAACGCTCGTCTAAACGAAGAATAAAAAGTGATAACGCAACGCCACTTTTGCGTTTTCTCTTCAGAATCGTTTCCGTGTAAACAGCCTCAAAGTGCAAGTTTGAAGACGATGACGTCATGCTCGTGTGTTACGTATTCAGTCTGTATTGTTTCATCGCCATCTACTGGCCCGGCAGCAGAATGCAGCGATTTTATTATGAATGGGTGAATCGTTTTGACAGTGGTGTCGTCTACTGGAAAAACGCAAAGGAAAAACATCTCGTGTAAACGTACCCTTAGTTTGGAGACTCCCAGTCATTGCTGGGAAATGAAACGAGACGAAACACTCCTGCACGATGATTCTCTGTTTGCTGTGTCCAGGTTTCAGGACGTTCAGAGCCTGTCGATGTCGGAGCGCCACCTGGCGGAGCTGGAGGGCGACACACTGCGCTTGTTCGGCCCCGGGGCCCTGGAGACGCTGGAGCGGTGCTGGGGGGTCCAGACGGCCTCGAGCGTCACCACCGTCTCCTTCAGATACATACACTTCGACTCCATCATCCCTACATTCCTGCGCATCCGCCTCAAATTCCCAAACCTCACGGTGAGTTTCCGACCCTCACAGATACAGGCATTCTGCTCATGTTTTACTACCATTTCCTAAACTAAAGCAAATAACCTGTGATGATGTGAGGAATGTTGAAGGAGTCTGAGGTTAGACGTCAATCTAACAACGTAACTTCTGTTGGGTGCAATTCACAACCTCACCACTAGATGCTGCTAAAAATCACACACTGCGCCTTTAAATGTGTAGGATATTTTGGTTTTGCTGTCATGACCTCGCTCTGTTTCCGCCGCAGCACCTGATGTTCACGGAGACGAGCATCTCTCATCTTCCTCAGCTGGCGGCTCTGGCTCAGATCCGGCGTCTCGATCAGATCACCGTCCGTCCGGAGGGCAATCCTGTGGTGCGACTGACGCTCTGGAAATCTTTCCTCATCTACAGACTTCAGCATCTCAACCTGCAGAAGATCAACGGCACGGAGGTCCGAGCAGCTCCGCCAGCGCCACTCGCTGCTGTGTGTGTGTGTGTGTGTGTGTGATGATATATCTGTGTTTTAGGTGACTATGAATGACATCACGGCCTCCGAGTTGATGTTCGGGGCTCTTGGTCACGTCGCTGCGACCGAAACGCCACGCTGCCGCATGCTTCTGCTGCTGGAGGAGTCCAGGTGTGTGATAGCTTTATTTGTGGGATTCTTTGAGGCGATTCTGTGTCTCTTTGGGATGATGAAACACAAGAAGCCGTTCACCTGCGGGACACAAGCAGGATGAGGAATACGAATTTGGAAGCTGCTCTTGAGTCCTCAGTTGATTTACGCTTCTGAAACCAGACTCGTTGTTGTGTGTAAGAAAAGTAAAGACTTTAATTTAAAGAGTGAACTGTCTGTGAAATACCTGTGTGTGTGGCAGGCCAGTGCATGTACAAGGCAGCTGCCATCCTTCCAGCGCTGTGTGTGTGTGTGTGTTTAGGATTATTGGAGCACTCCAGGACGTACAGTATTAAACAGCTTCTTCTTGTGCTGTTCAGCAAATTCTTCTCAGCCCTTGAGCACATGAGACACGCCAGCGCTGCAGAACCAGAAGGTCTTAAAATGATTTTAAAAAGACAAAACCATCATAAAAATGATAAGAAAAGATCTTTCTTATTTTAATTCACCTCCTTAACAACTGTTGTTGTTTTCCAAGAACCAGGATTCTCACAGTTATGGTAAACCGGAATATATATATGGAGGCCTTTTTTAGTTTTAAACTAATGCGAATGCATCATATTTGTTAGTCGCATATTTTTTTTCCTCAAGGCTGGTTATAACCTTTTTTTTCCTTAGTAAGTTACATAAAAGGGTAAATCTGAAAAATATGATAGATTAATCCTTGTCAAACTGCAACATGTTTATGCTACTGGCCCCTGGAAAAGTCATGGAAATTAGGAATAATTAATAAAAAATATTTTATTTATTTATTTTATTTTATATACAGTAGCCATATTATTTTATGTTAATTTCAGCATGGACTTCCTCAGTAAAACTAATTGTATTTTTTTTTAAATTTTATAAATATATTTTAGATTTAAAAATATATATATTTTATAATTTATTTAATTTAATTTATTTATTTATTTTTCAGCATGTACTTTCTAAGTAAATCTATACTCGTACTGATCATTCAGAACATGTCTTGTTCCCGACACTCGTGTGTGTGTGTGTGTGTGCGTGTGTGTGTGTGTGTGTGTGTGTGTGTGTGTAGGAAGCGTCAGCTGCAGTTCCTGCTGGACGGCCGCGGTCGGAGAACCGGTCAGAGTCCAGAGGAACTGAAGGACAACGGCAAACATGCGGGAGACGGGTTGAGCCGAGCGCTCTTCAACTACCCCAGCCGAGTGTCCGACGGCCCTGAGGTGAGGATAACTGTGAAAAAAATTTTTTATAGATTATTTTATTTTATTATATATTTTTTATTTACTATATATTTTTTTTACATTTTGTTTAAATTTTATTTACATTTTATTTTTTTTATATCCGACAGCCCTGAGGTGAGACCAACATTGTAAAACATTGTAAAATCTATGCTGAAAAGGAAAATATGATAAGAACATGACAAACACAAAAAAATCTTTTGGTTTTAATAGTAAAGATTGTAATGTAGGATAAATAAAAGTATATAAATAAAAGCAAAATGCAAACAACAGTCAAGTTATTATGTGAATATTAATATACATGAGTGACAAAGTGGATGACTATATTGAAATATTTGTAGACGGAAACATGATGAAGTACACTATGAACTGTGTTTTGGGAGAAATATGACTGAATGATTGTGTATTAAATTGTGTATTTCTTAAAGGTGCAGTGTGTAATATTTAGGAGGAAATGCAATATTATATACATGTACATAACTTTGTTTTCAGTGGTGTATAAAGAACTGCTTATTAGCTTAGAATGAGGCGTTTCTCTCTACACACACCGCGGTCCACTTACATCCACATGTTTCTAGGGTGGCCCTGAGCGGACAAACGTGTTTCGTCACTATGTTGTTCTTCGTGTAAAAAAGCTGCTAAAGTCAGCAAATGAACCTCTGACACAATAATATTCACAATAACTGAATAATTAAGGAAACCTAATTTCCTCATTTATTTTGTAAAGAAACCTCAGTGTTGAGTCAAACCTTCTGTTGAGTGCGATTCACAACCTCACCACTAGATGCTGCTAATAATCACACACTGCCCCTTTAAAGGGAAATGTTTTGTGATGCAAACATGTTTTGATGGCCGGTTCTGTGTCTCAGGAGGAGGGTGATGTTTCCCAGCGCTCAGCGATGGTTCACCAGTATCTGCGAGGTCTGGTCCACCGGGCCTCCAGTCACAGCGTGAAGGGAGAAACCCTACAGAAGATCTGGCCGTCGCTGTTCGCCGAGCTCGTGAGAGACTGTGTGCTGGAGATGAGGGACACACAGGCGTTCAGACAGACGTGTCTCCAGCGGATCACACACAGCAAATAACAGGCTTATCGTTTGACCTTCGCGCGATACACGTAGAGGTGCTCCGACTCGGTTTCGGTCACTCCCCTTTGAGCGCAGACATGAAAATTCATTTTAGGAGAAGTTCACATCAGAATTTACATTTCCTGATAGTTTATGGAGAAAAATCCTGCAATGTTTTTCTCAAAAACCTTGATTTCTCTTCAGCCGAAGAAAGAAACACATGAACATCTTTGATGATGTGGGGAGAGAAAATTAAAATTAAAATTTAATTCTGAGGTGAACTACTCCTTTGAAAAACTTAAAACAAGGTTGGTCTCTTTTTAAAAGACACTCAGATTACAGAAGTGAAAAAAATTGTAGAAGTTTAAGTTTACTGTAACTTGTATTTATAAAAACATTTTAACTGTAAAATTAGTTGAAAATCAAAGCCATTTGTCTAGCCAAGTTGTTCCGAATTTGTATTTGTTAATAATTTGATATTAACTTCCAAAAGTTTTTTTATGCGTTCTGCTGTCATAAATTAATATCAATTCTATTACAAAACAGATGCCAAATACATGTGTTTTGGTCAAGTTTGATTTTAAAACGGTGCAAACATGACTCCGCCCACTAGGGGGAGGGGCCAGCTGGAAGGTTAAAGTAGAAACGCGATTTCAAAACAGTTTTGAGTTTTTAATCTTTCGAATGATAGTTTAGGGTGATTTACTAAAATACGTGATGGGGAGAAAAACATGTGAAGACTAATTAAGAGTCTCGGGTCGTACCTGAATGTATACGTCACGTGATCGCGTCATCGCTGTGTTTGTGAGTGAGTGAATCTCCTCTCCTTCTCCTGAGTCTCGGGATGGTGCTCCTGGTGAACAGACTCGACGACACAGGTACATTCCAGGTGTGTTACGAAACAACTAGGCCTATAAACATGTCACGGTTCCCTTCTTCAAACCTGAGCGTAGGAGAAGTCGTCATTCCTCATTATCAGTCAAAGTGTTTGCGTCGAGTGTATGCCTGTCGCTTCTCCATGTTGAATGTCCTTCACAAGCACTGATTTATGTTTTGTACTGGTTATTAAAAAGAGAAATGTGAAAACATGTTGATTGACCTGAATATGTTGTTCATCTTTATTTGAGCAGACAAAAATGATTTGCCAACTATTATGCCAGTGGAGTCAGAAAAATTTCCGTTTGAATTAGGGTATTTTTGACCCGTGATTTTAGTTCATGTTTTAAGCACAATCTCACTTCCTTTTGAGCAATTTTATCAGTAAACAAGATATAATAAAAAATCACCTTGATTGAAATGTGACTCTACTGTTCGAACTCGTTCATACAATGAACGAAATGACTCGGAAAAAGATTCGTTCATTTTCGAACAGGAGAGTCACAAATGCGCGTCACAGAAGCAATGCGAGCATTTATAAAACGTTTTATTAATTTATTAAATGAGCGATCGTTTCACTAGATACGACCCTTATTCATCATCTGGTGTCGTTTAAAGCCCTTTGAAGCTGCACTGAAACTCATTTGGACCTTGAACCATTTGGACCCCATTGAAGTCCATTATGGAAAAAAATCCTGAATGTTTTCATTAAAAACCTTAATTTCTTTTCCACTGAAGAAAGAATGAAATGGACATCTTGGATGACAAGGGGGTGAGTAAATTTTCAGCAAAAGTTTTTTTTTTTGTTTTTTTTTGAGTGAACTACTCCTTTTCAGCTCAGCTCAATAAAGTAAAGTGAGAGATTGATGACCCGAGTTGTTTCGGATCCGAACTAAACTCTGCAGTGGAAAAAAATCAGAGAAACACTGACAGTCAATCATTATATCCCTTAAAACTCATCTTTGATCACCAATATGACATATTTAAACAAAAAAAAATCGTCATGTCTTAAAATATGAGTGTTGTTCGGTTCTCTGAATATGTAAATGAGCCCCGCCTCCACTCACTCAGCTCGAAGATCCTTTCAATGTGTAGTAAAGTGTTTTTTTCCCCCTGTGATCAAAGCTGAATTTATCACCATTATTACTCCAGTCTTCAGTGTCACATGATCCTCCACAAATCACTCTAATATGATCATCTGATGATCAAAAACAGTTATGATTATTAACAGGTAAATAGATTTTTTTTTTTTTGGATGAACAAAAAGTTCATAAGAACGGCATTTTGTCTGAACTAGAAGTCATAAGCTATATATATATATAAAATATGAACTGTAATAAATTAGAACATGTGTGAACATTTGCGACCACGTGTTTTAACACACACACACACGCTCTCTCTCACTCACTCACTCACTCACTCACACACACACATACACACACATTTTCTCTCTCTCTCCCTCTCTCAGGTGGCGCGCCGCGCGCACTCGCTCTGTTTCTATCCGAGCGCGTGGTTTCTTCACGGATGTTTGTGTGACGGAGAAACTTTCTCAGGACTGGAAACTCAGTGTCTGGATACGGCCGACAGTTATCGATGATGGAGGTTACTGTTAATGAGCGACGCGCGAGCTGCCGGAATATTGAGCGCGCTGGGTCACGCGCGTCTGGGCGCGTCACACATCAACACTTTCTCCATTAGAACAGCTGGAGCTCAACGGGTACTTCACCTTTACCACACTCTTACCAAAACATTATCAGGCTACTACTACTACTGCACTCACTCTTACCACACTACATGCATGCATGTATTTATATATATACATTATTGCTCCCTCTGTTCATGTTGCAAGATATATTCATGTACAACAGAATTGCATGGAAGCATATCCACCAAAGTGTTAATACCATAATAATATCACACGACTGTAATATCTCACTACTGTAATATCTATCACACTACTGTAATATCTCACTACTGTAATATCTCACTACTGTAATATCTCACGACTGTAATATCTCACTACTGTAATATCTCACTACTCACTACTAATATCTCACGACTGTAATATCCCACTACTGTAATATCTATCACACTACTGTAATATCTCACTACTGTAATATCTCACTACTAATATCTCACGACTGTAATATCCCACTACTGTAATATCTATCACACTACTGTAATATCTCACTACTGTAATATCTCACGACTGTAATATCTCACGACTGTAATATCTCACGACTGTAATATCTCACTACTGTAATATCTCACGACTGTAATATCTCACTACTGTAATATCTCACGACTGTAATATCCCACTACTGTAATATCTATCACACTACTGTAATATCTCACTACTGTAATATCTATCACACTACTGTAATATCACACTACTGTAATATCTATCACACTACTGTAATATCTCACGACTGTAATATCCCACTACTGTAATATCTATCACACTACTGTAATATCACACTACTGTAATATTTATCACACTACTGTAATATCACACTACTGTAATATCTATCACACTACTGTAATATCTCACGACTGTAATATCTCACGACTGTAATATCCCACTACTGTAATATCTATCACACTACTGTAATATCTCACGACTGTAATATCTATCACACTACTGTAATATCTCACTACTGTAATATCTATCACACTACTGTAATATCCCACTACTGTAATATCTATCACACTACTGTAATATCTCACGACTGTAATATCTCACTACTGTAATATCTCACGACTGTAATATCTCACGACTGTAATATCTATCACACTACTGTAATATCTCACTACTGTAATATCTATCACACTACTGTAATATCCCACTACTGTAATATCTCACGACTGTAATATCTCATGACTGTAATATCACACACACCTTCATTCATGTCTCATTTCTACTGACTCTCGGACTCACACATGCACTTGAATGCAGCAGCTGCAGTGTTTCTGTCAGAGGTCAGCAGGTCGGGTCAAAGGTTAACTGAGGACTAATACTGAACTTGGGTGACTTATGACGACATGCACAGGCGTGTGTGTGTGTGTGTGTACAGGTGCAGTCTTCAGTATGAGAGCCGCTCTGAACATCTGGTGAGGAACCCGTCAGATCTGATCCGACTTTACGGCGTTTGCTCTGTTCGTGTGTAATAATGTAATCGTGTGTTTGTAGTGTCGCTGTGATCCTGTGGCCGATCTTCATTTGCCTTGACACACACTCCCAGAGGAAGGTATTTATGTTTGTCTTTATGACTATTTATCTGTTTTTGCCTTCATAATACAAACAGTGCAGATCATTGCAATGCGTCTCTCTCTCTCTCACACACACACACACACACCCTCACACATACAGTACTCTCTCTCACTCACTCACTCACTCACACACACACACACACACACACACACACACTCATGAGATAATAACCTGTCCCTGATCTTTTGCATTGCGCTGGTTTACAGTAGCAGTATTCTACATAATGTTCCTCAGAGCTCAGTGTCGTGGATTTCTGTCGAGAAAGTGAATGATTTGCAGGTTTGTGTCGTCATCACATGATCTCCAGCTGTCTGACCTCTCGCTGACCCTGAGAGTGACCAGGTCACGCCCTCTGCCCTCTGATTGGCTGTCAGCTGTTGATTGACAGCTCTCGTCCTGCTGTTTGATGAGATCTGGCTCGTGTTTACTGTTTTTTTAATGCTCTTCTACTGCCATAATCAAACTACTCAATATATCGAGTCACAATATATCACAATACAAAAATGCAACCACATGTATTGTGTATAGTTCACCCAAAATAAAAATGACTGTGAGTTTTAGTGTCAGTACTACATGAAACTGCTATATATAATGTTGAATATAATGTATAATAATGCACTGTGGGAATATGTGTGTGTGCTGATAATGCCAGATGTCTGATGATACCAGTGAAAAGTGGCCGATGTTATTAGATCAAGCATATTCATCTTCAATAACTCATGAATATTGTTATTCTTGTTACGTGCTTAATATCGTTTCGAATCGTGACATGAGGCACAAACTACATCTCACTTTTTTCTTGTTTATTTCCTCTTGACTTGCTCAGATCCAGTCCTATCCGCTGACTGGTTCTGACGGAGCGGGGTCGAGGTCAGGGTCGTGGAGCTCCTGGGGTTCGTGGGGTTCGTGTTCGCTCTCCTGCGGGGGAGGAGTTCAGGAACGGATCAGGGTCTGTCGGGTCGATCCCAGCGGATCAGCGCCGGGACAGCAGAGACGCCAGAGCCTCAGGCATGGATGGAGGTTTGACATCATCCTCATCAGTTCAAAACTAATACTCACGCTTTTTCATCAGCTGAACCACTTTAGGCTTAGATATTTAATAGCCCCCCTAAGATTTAAACAAGACGTCAAATAAGAGTGTGTGTGTGTGTGAAGGTTCAGCTTAAATACCCCACAGATATTTTTTATAGCATATTAAAATTGACACATTTTGAGGGTGAGTAAAAACACGCCGTTTTATTGTGTGTCCCTTTAAATGCAAATGAGCTGCTGCTCCCGGCACAGGAGGCGGAGTTTCAAGAGCTTGTGTCTGTGTGTTGTTATTTTGGCAGATTATTAGTAAAATACTGTATGCAAACGTCTGTTGCATAAATGTTGGGAATTCTGTGAATGTGAGTGTAAATAAAGTAAACCTCCCAAATACTTTATCGTAAATAACTTTAATGTTTGTGAGAAGAATCCTTTTCTGTGAACCGAAGCTGCGCTCGTGTAAATCTACTGATTTGATATTCGCTGTTAATAAGATATTTTGATTTACGGTGAAAAATCTTTGTTTATTTTAATTGAACATTTGATTTAATTTACTAATAGGTTTTCCTCAACTCACAAAGCAATTGATATTGATGATTGTTTCCTTGATTTTATGACATCCAACACGAGGTGATTAACATTTTATTAATTATTACTTCTATATTTTCTCTCTGTTGAAGACAAGCGAGCAGTGGCATCAGTGCAGGGACATATGGGTATGGCAGGACTTCATACGTAACGCCTCTACTGAAGGATTCTGGCCGAATATCCCAAAACACACGTAGACGATCAGCATTAGACGTCCCGCTCCAGAGTTACAGGACTCAGCGTAGAACCGTCCATCAGAACCAGCGCACTCACCGACCAGCAGCGCAGAACCAGCTGTACGGCGCGGTCCAGAACGCCTCCTGCCCCGGAGCCCAGAACCAACACAAGATCTGCAACGCCACGGTAACATCTGCGCAGAAACACAGCATTTAACCCCGGCTAACGTCATCACTAACCCCAGTTCTTAACCCTGACCAACTTCATCACTAACCCCAGCACTTAACCCTGGCTACCGTCATCACTAACCCCAGCACTTAACCCTGAATAACATCATCTCTAACCCCAGCATTTAACCCTGGCTAACTTCATCACTAACCCCAGCACTTAACCCTGACTAACATCATCACTAACCCCAGCATTTGAACCTGGCTAACATCATCACTAACCCCAGAATTTAACCCTGGCTAACATCATCACTAACCCCAGAATTTAACCCTGGCTAACATCATCACTAACCCCAGAATTTAACCCTGGCTAACATCATCACTAACCCCAACACTTAACCCTGGCTAACGTCATCACTAACCCCAGCACTTAACCCTGAATAACATCATCTCTAACCCCAGCACTTAACCCTGACTAACATCATCACTAACCCCAGCACTTAACCCTGACTAACATCATCACTAACCCCAGCACTTAACCCTGACTAACATCATCACTAACCCCAGCATTTGAACCTGGCTAACATCATCACTAACCCCAGAATTTAACCCTGACTAACGTCATCACTAACCCCAGCATTTAACCCTGGCTAACGTCATCACTAACCCCAGCATTTAACCCTGGCTAACGTCATCACTAACCCCAGCATTTAACCCTGACTAACGTCATCACTAACCCCAGCATTTAACCCTGGCTAATGTCATCACTAACCCCAGCACTTAACCCTGGCTAACGTCATCACTAACCCCAGCATTTAACCCTGACTAACATCATCACTAACCCCAGCACTTAACCTTGGCTAACGTCATCACTAACCCCAGCATTTAACCCTGGCTAACGTCATCACTAACCCCAGCATTTAACCCTGGCTAACGTCATCACTAACCCCAGCACTTAACCCTGGCTAACGTCATCACTAACCCCAGCACTTAACCCTGGCTAACGTCATCACTAACCCCAGCATTTAACCCTGACTAACATCATCACTAACCCCAGCATTTGAACCTGACTAACATCATCACTAACCCCAGCACTTAACCCTGGCTAACGTCATCACTAACCCCAGCACTTAACCCTGACTAACATCATCACTAACCCCAGAATTTAACACTGGTTAACATCATCACTAACCCCAGCACTTAACCCTGGGTAACATCATCACTAACCCCAGCATTTGAACCTGACTAACATCATCACTAACCCCAGCACTTAACCCTGACTAACATCATCACTAACCCCAGCACTTAACCCTGACTAACATCATCACTAACCCCAGAATTTAACCCTGGTTAACATCATCACTAACCCCAACACTTAACCCTGACTAACATCATCACTAACCCCAACACTTAACCCTGACTAACATCATCACTAACCCCAGAATTTAACCCTGGTTAACATCATCACCAACCCCAACACTTAAGGGTGTGTGTGAGTGCTTAATATGACTGTAAAAAAAAGTATGTGTGCGTGTGTTTATGAATTCTTCTCAGGCCTGTCCGTCATCCAGCAGACCAATCAGAGACGTGCAGTGCTCCTCCTTCAACACGCAGCTCTTCATGGGGAGACTGTACCAGTGGGAGCCTTTCCACGACGGTGAGCAGATTCTCCATTTTTTACGATTCACTATTTATATTTTTACACTACCAATCAGTCAGTGCATTTCCATTCTTCAAGGACGCTTTCAATTGATCAAAAGTGATCGTAAAGACATTTATATTGTTACGAAAGATTCTATTTCATTCATTTTCTATTCATCAAAGATTTCTGAAAAATAAAAGTGTTTCACGGTTTCCAAAAAAAAAAAAATCTTTTTTCAATATTGATAATAATTATAAATGTTTCTTGAGCATCAGATTAGAGTGATTTCTGAAGGACCATGTGGAGTAATGATGCTGAAAATTCAGACTAAATTAAGTCTAAATAAGTTTATGGCAGAAACATTTTTGATGTAACCCAAATTAATAACATCCTGAAAACACACACACACACATCTGTGCTATAACTGTAACGATCATGTTGCAATTAAAGTTAGTCATATTTCAGAGAGTTAATCATTGAGCCTCGGGAGGTTTTCCCGGCATGTCGGATCCCGTGGAACAGCGAATGCTTTCAGGTTTATGAACTTTGATGCTGCGCCAGTGTTTGATTCATGTTCACCTACGTTTATGGTTCATGTGGAATATTCTTACGGCTGACAATATTTTTGTCTTGATGACACAAACTAGTGTATTTTCACCACAGCAAACAGGGAACATTATAAGTTATAAACAAGCGTTCCTCCAGTAACGTTAATTTATGTCATCTGCACTCATTAGCACAAAAACATTATTTAAACATGGGAATGTTTTTCTGAAACTTTTAATCTAGATGTTTTCAACAGTTCCTCATTTCAGAGAACATGCAAAAGTAATGTTTGAAGAATGATACACTGGAAATGAAGTTTTCATAACTCCAGGAGTCAGTCCGACTGGTTCTGGCTCACCGTGTGTGTTTGCTGGCCTCTTGTGGCTGCTGTGTGTCATTACCAGCATCAGATTCTGTTCCCGTTAGTGCTGGAGATCACAGTTTTCGAGTGTGTTTAAATCACTATTATTATTAAACTTTGTGCAGCTCTAAACTTCTGTGTGATGAAGCGATTCTGTGAATGTGTGTGTTGTGCGTGTCTCGTGATGAACATGTGTGTGTGTGTGTGCTCAGTGTCCAGTGATCAGGGCTGCGAGCTGAACTGTCGGGCCGTCGGCTTCAGGTTCTACGTCCGTCAGTCGGAGCGAGTCGTCGACGGGACTCCCTGTGGACGCGGCGGGACATCGGTGTGTGTGGCGGGAAAGTGTCAGGTATTTCAGTCAAGTTTATTTCTAAAGCCCAGACACACCAGGCCGTTTTTGTGCGTTGGCGACTCGGTTTTCTCATCAGCTGAAATTGGTCGGCCTCTCGTCGGCCAATTCGACGTGAATGGGAGAACTCTGATTGGCTGTTCAGCTTATGCATACGCTACACAACTGTAACGCTGTGTTGTTTACACTACACAACTGGACATTGACAGCGAACCAAAGACAGTCTCAAACACACGGTTTGAAATCGCTGGTGTTTCTGACATCACAAACGACCTTGTAACCAATCAGATCAACGTGTGATCGTCAACCAGTGGATCTCAGAGAGAGAGAGAGTGACTGGAGGCGGGGCTCATTTGCATATTCAGAGAACCGCACGAATTCTAATAAATGAGGCGAGGGTGTCGAGTTACATTCAAGATATTTTAAAGCAAGGAAAAAAAAACTATATATAATATATAATTTGGTGATCAAAGATGATGTAAGATTGTTTCACCACCAGGGGTCGCTAACCTCTTACAATAACAAAGGCTTATGGATTTATGGATTTAAAGAATTATGGGTCATGTCGTCAAGCTGATGGATCTTCAATGGATGAGTGAATATATTGATGTATTATAACTGGTTATAATTATTCATGAGATCATACAGTGCATTAAAAGGCATTAGTAATGCATTATATAGAAAGGCTTTATATCAAGTGTTACTGAGATTTATTTTACAATATGGTTCCATATTAGTTAATTGCATTAGTTAACTTGATCCAATAATGAAAAATACTTCTACAGCATGTAATAGTGTTTGTTAATGTTAACTTCAACATTTACTAATACATCAATTATATGAAAAGTTGCATCTGTTCATGTTAGTTAATGCATGAACACATGGACCTTATTGTTCAGTGTTAAAATTGTATTTTTGAGTTTGCAGTTTTTTGTTCCCGCTGCTAAAACTTCATTTGAGAGACACACAGAGACAGATAAACATTTGTTTAGGATGCACTTCTTGTCCTGAGACGTTTCGACGTGTTGGTGAATGCTGAAGCAGGGAAACTCCGGCTGTAGAGCTTCACTTTCACACACTGAGGAGAAGAAAGAGCCTTTATGAAGGAAATCCCACTGAGTAACTGAGCTGCGGCTGAACGCCAGAGGAGTGCGTGTGTGTGTGTGTGTGTGTGTGAGAGAGAGAGAGAAAGTGTGTGCGTGAGTGAGCGGTGTTGTGTGGGGTTGCCAGTTTGTTTCTAGGGTGTTGTGGGTGGTAGCCAGGGTGTTTATAATTTAGGTGTTGTGGGTGGTTGCCAGGGTGTTTCTAGTGTGTTGTGGGTGGTTTTCTAGGGTGTTGTGGTGGTTGCCTAGGTATTTTCAGGAGTTGTGGGTGGTTGCCAGGGTGTTTCTAGTGTTGTGGGTGGTCGCCAGGGTGTTTCTAGGGTGTTGTTGGTGGTTACCAATGTGTTTCCAGGTGTTGTGGTGGTTGCCTAGGTATTTTCAGGAGTTGTGGGTGGTTGCCAGGGTGTTTCTAGTGTTGTGGGTGGTTTTCTAGGGTGTTGTGGTGGTTGCCTAGGTATTTTCAGGAGTTGTGGGTGGTTGCCAGGGTGTTTCTAATGTTGTGGGTGGTCGCCAGGGTGTTTCTAGGGTGTTGTTGGTGGTTACCAATGTGTTTCCAGGTGTTGTGGTGGTTGCCTAGGTATTTTCAGGAGTTGTGGGTGGTTGCCAGGGTGTTTCTAGTGTGTTGTGGGTGGTTTTCTAGGGTGTTGTGGTGGTTGCCTAGGTATTTTTTGAAGTTGTGGGTGGTTGCCAGGGTGTTTCTAGTGTTGTGGGTGGTCGCCAGGGTGTTTCTAGGGTGTTGTTGGTGGTTACCAATGTGTTTCCAGGTGTTGTGGTGGTTGCCTAGGTATTTTCAGGAGTTGTGGGTGGTTGCCAGGGTGTTTCTAGTGTGTTGTGGGTGGTTTTCTAGGGTGTTGTGGTGGTTGCCTAGGTATTTTCAGGAGTTGTGGGTGGTTGCCAGGGTGTTTCTAGTGTTGTAGGTGGTCGCCAGGGTGTTTCTAGGGTGTTGTTGGTGGTTACCAATGTGTTTCCAGGTGTTGTGGTGGTTGCCTAGGTATTTTCAGGAGTTGTGGGTGGTTGCCAGGGTGTTTCAGTGTGTTGTGGGTGGTTTTTCTAGGGTGTTTGTGGTGGTTGCCTAGGTATTTTCAGGAGTTGTGGGTGGTTGCCAGGTGTTTCTAGTGTTGTGGGTGGTCGCCAGGGTGTTTCTAGGGTGTTGTTGGTGGTTACCAATGTGTTTCCAGGTGTTGTGGTGGTTGCCTAGGTATTTTCAGGAGTTGTGGGTGGTTGCCAGGGTGTTTCTAGTGTGTTGTGGGTGGTTTTCTAGGGTGTTGTGGTGGTTGCCTAGGTATTTTCGAAGTTGTGGGTGGTTGCCAGGGTGTTTCTAGTGTTGTGGGTGGTCGCCAGGGTGTTTCTAGGGTGTTGTTGGTGGTTACCAATGTGTTTCCAGGTGTTGTGGTGGTTGCCTAGGTATTTTCAGGAGTTGTGGGTGGTTGCCAGGGTGTTTCTAGTGTGTTGTGGGTGGTTTTCTAGGGTGTTGTGGTGGTTGCCTAGGTATTTTCAGGAGTTGTGGGTGGTTGCCAGGGTGTTTCTAGTGTTGTGGGTGGTCGCCAGGGTGTTTCTAGGTGTTGTTGGTGGTTACCAATGTGTTTCCAGGTGTTGTGGTGGTTGCCTAGGTATTTTAGGAGTTGTGGGTGGTTGCCAGGGTGTTTCTAGTGTGTTGTGGGTGGTTTTCTAGGGTGTTGTGGGTGGTTGCCTAGGTATTTTCAGGAGTTGTGGGTGGTTGCCAGGGTGTTTCTAGTGTTGTGGGTGGTCGCCAGGGTGTTTCTAGGGTGTTGTTGGTGGTTACCAATGTGTTTCCAGGTGTTGTGGGTGGTGCCAGGGTATTTCTAAGGTGTTGTGGGTGGTTGCCTAGGTGTTTCCAGGTGTTTTGGTTGGTTGCCAGGGTATTTCTTTGGTGTTGTGGGTGGTTGCCTAGGTCTTTCCAGGTGTTTTGGTTGGTTGCCAGGGTATTTCTATGGTGTTGTGGGTGGTTGCCTAGGTGTTTTCAGATGTTGTGGGTGGTTGCAAGGGTGTTTCTATGGTGTTGTGGGTGGTTGCCTAGGTGTTTCCAGGTGTTTTGGTTGGTTGCCAGGGTATTTCTATGGTGTTGTGGGTGGTTGCCTAGGTGTTTTCAGATGTTGTGGGTGGTTGCCAGGGTGTTTCTAGTGTGTTTTGTGTGGTTGCCAGGGTGTTTTGGCTGGTTGCCAGGGTGGTTACCAGGGTGTTTCTATGGTGTTGTGGGTGGTTGCTAGGGTGTTTTTAAGGTTTCGTGGGTGGTTGCTGCGGTGTTTTTAGGTTGTTGTGGGTGTTTTTAAGGTGTTGTGGGTGGTTTCCAGGGGGTGGTTGCCGGGGTGTTGTAAATGAGGACCTCACAGATTTTAAGACATTATGACGGATATTATTTTTCTGTAAAGCAGCACTGAAACGATGTGCATGATGATATTGATGTCAGCGCTCCTGCAGATCACGGCAGCTACAGCAGGGTTGATTTCCAGGGAATGCATGAACTGATATAATATACACCTTTGGATAGAAGCATCTGCCAAATGCATTAGTGTAAATATGCTGAATTATGGATGTGTGAGGGTGTGTGAGTGAGTGAATCCCACCGGATCATCCCAGCAGGAACAGTCAGAGCAGAGAGCCAGCGGCTCCTGCTGATGTTTATACAAGCAAGAAAGCTCCAAGTCTGTGAGAGCTGGTTTCCGCCACACAATTAAAAAATCAAAAACTTAATTCTAACTTTTTATCCTGCAATTCTGAGTCTAAACTTGGTGAGAATTGTGAGAAAAGTCATATTTTTTATTCCAAGCTTCTATATAAATCTCATGTGCTTTCAGAGAGAAGTAGCTTGTTTTTGAACACATAAAAAAAAAAAAAAGAAAATTAGATAAAAATATTGGATATTTAGACAGCATCTGTTGAAGTTTGCAAAAAATTGGAAACTTCATTTCAAAAACGTAAGCGGTAGCGTTTGGTTCAGTTTGAAGCTTAAGCTCCTTCTACTAATATTTTGTTACAGATTGTCTTCACTTTCTCCAAGATCTGATGTGCATTAGTGTGTGTTAGTGTGTGTAAGGGTGTGTAAGTGTGGATCAGTGTGTGTTAGTGTGTCTGTGGATCTCCCGGTGTTGAAGTGTGTGAGAGATCAGGGCCCCTGAGGGCCGACGTCAGCGCCTGCTTCTCACATTCAGCTGCAGCTTCACAAACGCTCGCATGTTTTACATCACACGTTACGGTGTTGGGAATCAGTTCCACTCATTTGAAATGTAAATGACGCCGCAAGCATTTCCTCTTGAGCAGAGCAGATTCACAAGGGCTTCTGTCGGTGTCTGCTTCTTTTCTGAGTTTAATTGCGCTGTTGTGTAGTTGCTAGAGTGTTTCCAGGGTCTGGGTGGTTGTCAAGGTGTTGCTTGTGGTTGCCAGGGTGTTCTGGGTGGTTGTCAGGGTGTTGCTGTGTGGTTGCTAGGGTGTTGCTAGGGAGTTCTGGGTGGTTGTCAGGGTGTTGCTATGTGGTTGTCAGGGTGTTCTGGATAATTGTCAGAGTGTTGCTGTGTTTTTGCCAGGGTGTTCTGGGTGGTTATCTGGGTGTTGCTGTGTGGTTGTCAGGGTGCTGCTTGGGAGTTCTGGGTGGTTGTCTGGGTGTTGCTGTGTGGTTGCCAGGGTCTTCTGGATGATTGTCAGGTTGTTGCTGTGTGGTTGCCAGGGTGTTGCTTGGGTGTTCTGGGTGGTTATCTGGGTGTTGCTGTGTGGTTGCCAGGGTGTTCTGGGTGGTTGTCAGGGTGTCGCTGTATGGTTTCCAGGGTGTTGCTAGGGTGTTCTGGGTGGTTGTCAGGTGTTGCTGTGTGGTTGCCAGGGTGTTGCTTGGGTGTTCTGGGTGTTGCTGTGTGGTTGTCAGGGTGTTGCTAGGGTGTTCTGGGT